CCCCAAATTCTCAGCGTTTGGGAGTGCCCCGGGGTACTGCTTTGGGGGGGGGGGGTGGAGCTGACCCTTCTGGGTATTGCTGTCCTTTGAGCAAAGGAATTGCTATTTATTTGTTGAGACAGTAAAAGTAGTCTTCTGTCTCATTTTTTAACACAATATCTTAAGTCAGTCAAACTTGTCTTAATATATTGTTACTTATAGCTGACTGATCTTTAAGTGTTCAAACATTGTGAAACATGGGGAGTATTATTCCTGCCTGAGGACCAGAGGGTGTTCATGCTGTAGAAGTCTGGAATAAGACCGTGATGGTCACGGCAGGTCAATCTGGGTGTAGGCTGCTGCTGGAGGGGGGTGGTCCTGGCTTCCCTTCTGCACAGGTGCCTCCTTGCTCCCTCCTGCCAGTAGTGCTCAAGTGGCTATCCAGGAGGCCGGAGCTGGGAACTGGCCAGTTGGAAACCAATCATTTTGTTCATTTCTTCTGGTTTAGATTTCAACTGTATCAGTTTCTTGATCCAGCCTGTTTGCAGTTACTGTTTCCTGCACGGGGATTGCGGCAGTAACATACATCTGGGGAAAGGTGGACCTTCCCCTTTTAATGGCTTGCCACATTAAGATTGTTTTAAGACAGTTGGGAGACTCTACCGAAGGCTGCTTACATCAGGTGAAGTCAAACATGTGAGGAACTGGAAAGTAAATAGCAAATATTTGACATTAATCAGAACTGAATACTTTCTTCTTGAGGCAGGGGGTATGTGACCTTTGTTCATGCTCTAATTTTTCTTACAGGGCAGATATTATTGCATGTACATTATTGTGCCAGGTCTAATACAATTGTGGTTGTGCACTTATTATATAAAATCAAATTATTCCTGAAAATACAGCACTGCTTGTATTCAAAACTTACGTAGTTAAATTTTCCTTGATCGTAACGTAGACCATATAATAAAGCGTAGTAGGGCAAATGTTTCACCTCTCATTTCACTGCTCAGTAACTCATTAGAACTTAAAAATCTTGTAACTGTGGAAGATAGGGTGTCTGGGCTGTGCGAAGTATGGGTGGGAATCTTACAAAGTACTCTTATTCTGTTTTATCATTAGTTTTGGCTTTCTCAGAAGAATACGAAATACCATATGTTGAGCTGCTTGAGAAATCAGTTTCGATTATGCTGTTTATAGTGCATGTAAAATGGTATGGATCAAAGATGGCAACAGAAGCGGACAGCTGTTAATCGTACCAAGCATTGTACTCAGAGATCTGAAGTCTTTGTGAGTTATTTTTATAAATGACATTTTGAATTTAGGCAAGAATCGTTGACTGTTCAGGCTGCATGTACTAAGTTGAATGCTATTGGAACTTACGTTTTAAGAATGCATGGGAAACTTGAGAAGAAATCAAAGTAAGGTTGTGAATCACCAGATGTTTATGGCTTGACCAGAGCCATGCCAGGTTACCAATGTTTTTTCAGGGGGGTCAGAAGCTGCCCAGCAGAGGGCTTGCAGACCTTGCTTGAAGTGACTCACTGAGTGAGCTACAGTGGAAGATTGCTTTCAGATGTTGCTGTAAGAACGTTAAACCACGCAGCTGAGTTGGTCACAATTTACATAAGGAAGCACATTCTGCTCTCAGAATAAATACTGTTCAGTTATAACATGGGATTTGCAAATAATGATTGTTTTGCCAAGTAGCTGAGTCTATAGAGTATGCTGTACAGATAATGAATCTATGCATACCCATTTAGGTTATGAGAAGTGTTCCTTTATATTAAAAAACAACAACAAAAAGTTCTTTAAGAATTTAACATTCTCCATCTTGGATAATTACTTACTGAACTCTAAGAGTATACAGTGAAAAAGAATGTCCAGACCTCTAAGTAAGTAAACTTAACTCCAGTAAGTTTATGTACTGAACTGGAAATGCAGAATGATTGGACAATAATCTTAACATTAAGTGCAAGTGTGATCATCTATTGCTAGTAATAAAAACTAAAAATGGGGCCATGAACATTTTGAAATGCTATTTCAGAAACGTGCATGCCTGAGTAGTTTTATTTTAAAAGAACGTTTAAGTGCTTAATGTTGTCAAGAGAAGATAACACCAGCCAGACTTCACAGAAGTGTTTTACTCAGATTACTTTGTTCATACAATCCTTTCTTATTTCGAACCTGAGTTTGATTCTACTGGAGCAAGCTGGTACAGTCTAGGACTACCTTACAGGTATGTTAATGCTCTCATTAGGTAAAGTTGTTCAAGGACATCTAGTAATCTACTGGCTTTGTTCAAAACAATTGTTATTGACAAAACAAGTTCCTAAATTACAGTCTTACAGTGTTTAAGAGTATTGTTTACTCTTGATAAGAAGAGTACATGTCTTTATAAGGTATCAAGTGCAAAAATAATTACAGTTGTTTCATTTCCATATCAAGTATGAGCTGTGGAAATCACCTCCTGTCAAATGTATATTTGGAACTGTTCCATGTGTAATTATTAGACCTATAATTTGTTAGGATTATCAATGGAGTGATAGTAACACATGATGCAAATTACATCATACTCTATAGGAAAAAAAACATGTATAGAAAAGAAGTTAGTGTCAGGCTCTTTTGTCACGATAAAAAAATCTTTAAAAATGGCACATAGTTCATGATTTTGTTGTTTATTTATAGTTCTTAGATATTATTCTTCCATATGCTACTACTAGGAAGAAGCTTTTCTGATCTTACCTTCATGTCTTACTACATCTTGCAGAGGAATTGTTGACAAGTGTAGCTGCTCATGCATCTCAAGATTATTTTGGTCAGGGTCTGGAAAATGAGGCCTAAAGAATTATTAACTATGAGGGTCATTGTTAATGACTGTGCCATCTGTTACCTGTTCTCATATCTCTTTCCTTTAACTTATTTAAACTGAATACTCAGAAAACTTTCCAAGTTTTGGTGGCAATATCGGAATCAGTAACATAAGATAACCCGCTAAATTAAATTCTCATGTACTTCCAGAGAATAACTAGCCATCTTTCATTAACATTTCTGAAAAATTCTTACTTCAAAAAATTTTGTAATTTAAATTTATAAATTAATAACATTACATCTTTTTATTTTTTAATTTTTTTCTTGTTACTAGCAAATGTCTTGAGTTCACTTGTAATATAATTAGAAGAATCTACAATGAAGCTATTAATGGCTTCTAACATTCAGATTAATTATGTCATCTCTGGGCCATCATTATATTATTACATTAAAAATTTTGTTCTGGTAACAAAGAACACTGTCATGTCATGTTTTACCCTGGGGAGATTATTTCACTGGAAAAGGTAGAAGTATCTTTCAAATTAATTGCAAGTCCTAGATAGAAACTGCAGTGCAGTAGTCAGAATTTGATAGTCTTATTGCAATGGCTAATAGTCAATTCACGTTACTAGCTTGTTCTTTGTATTTTAAAGAAGCATTAATATAAATTAGCTTATTTAAAAAAAAAAAGCTTAAAGAATTTATTTTTTTAATGGCCTTCTGAAGCTGCAGTAGCTAAAATGTGAAGTTACAGTTTTCAATCCTAAAATTGATGACAATTTCCATTTTTTTCTGAAAAAAGTTTTGGTAAGTTTTAATAGCTGCACAAAGTTGAAGAAGTAATTGTGCCTCTTTAAAGCAACTTGTAATTTACATTATATAAATATTTATGAAGTTCTATAAAGCTCATTGGAGTTTTTAAATGTCTTTAACAGAAGGGCCATTTTTTCCATCTTACTTTGTTAGGATTTCTGTGGTTGTTTGTAGTTCCCATTAGCTGTCATTTATCCTTTGCGTTAAGAGTCTGGCCGTTGAATGTAAAATAAGCTAATTAGTAGGGTCTACTAGTTTCTCAATGATAACTTTTTTTTTTCCTTTCCTCAGAGGATAGTTGAAATGCTGTCTAGCAGGCTGTTAATTGCATTCTGTTCTTTTGTCAATACAGTATTTTAATAAAATAAGAAATACTTATTAATGCATGAGTTTAAGAATAAATACTGCTTGACACTGGATCTCCTTTCCTCAGTGCTTTCCAATTTATGATCCATAAGAGTGAATGATGTAAACACCTAGGATAATATTTCGAGCAAACAGAGAATATTGTTGACTTTATTTTCAGATTTCTGAAACTGGATTAAACAAAAGCGTCTATAAACCCTCCTCTAAGTGATTAAAGAAATTGTAGTTTTGAAGACACATTTGCTGAAGATGGTCCAGTTGTCTCAGCTGCTGAAGTTTGACCTTGGTTTGAGAAATGCTTGCATAGACTGCTCTGCAGGTGTAGGAAGAGCTGTGCTTTTACCTCTTGCTTTATCCCTGTGCCTCACATATACCCTGCCCTCCATAAGTGAAAGAAGCAATTGGGGTAAAGAAGCAATCAGGTGCCTGCCTTCTCTGTTGAAATGGTGCTGGGCTAAATGGAAGTGTTTGGTAAACTAAAACTAGGTGCCAGCTATACCATAGCTGTGTATTTGATGCAAAGTAAGCAGGAGATACCTAGGTCAGCTCTGAATTTGACAACTTGTGTGCCAGAAAAAAATATGGAGGTAAATGGGCTGAAGCAGAGCTCAGCTCTAAGGCAGCTATGCTGCTTTGCAGAACCTGAGCTGTACCTCAGGATACCTGTTTGATCTATCAGTTTGGCTTAAAGCCTCTGACAAAAATGATCATGTACTTAAAAAATGATGAGGGTAAATGAGATTGCATGCATATTTAGAACATTTCTTAAAATTATGTATCGTGTAAACGTTGTTGCCATAGAGAGTAGTCATGTGAATATGCATGTTAAAAATGGGATTTGTTTTCTTTCTCCAAGTATTGTGCACTGTAGGTGTCATAGCAAAGAACAACTGTGATCCATTCAATTCTATAGCCTCTTTTGCTTTCTTAGCGAGATTACTTTTTTATAAATAATACTTGGTTGAATGGATATTTTTATTAGGATTTTTTTAATAACACCTTTAGCTTATTAAAGGCAATCAGTTCAAATGCATCATCTACTGTGTTTAATTTTCCTTTTTTTCTCTAATGGAGAAATTTATCAAGGATTGAATAGAAAGTTACAAACAGTGGGTGAGGAAATCGCTAAGCTTTCAAGCTTTTGAAGGATGAGGAAGTATTCTGGGGAAGTATCTTTGTGTGCTTGCCTGGTTCCTATACTGTTTTGTAGGCATCTTATTTTAGATACAGCTGGAGACAGGATAGTAGATGGGTGCTTGGTCTGATCCAGTATGGCTGTCTCTGTGGTCTCCTTTTATGGTGATGGTTTTTTAACAAAGTGATACTTGATTTGATAAATTCCTTAACTCAAAAGTTAAGGAAAGGATCAAAATCCTGTTCAGTTTAAAATCTTTTCTGTGTAGCTTTAAATGTAAATTGTTCCTATTAAAAATAAGCCAGTACAGTAATTTTCTACTCTCTAGGAAAAAGAACAAGCTGAGTGCTTGAATAAGAGACCTGAATTTGTGTGTTCCATACCACCAAGTTCCCCTGAAAAATGTGGGGGTGGGGGTCTTCTGGAAATGAGGGTACTTTTAGATGCTTAAACAAGGATTTAGATACCTAGTTCAGGACATCTTCATGGGAAAGACTGAAGCTTATCAGATTTCCCTCCTTTTCTTGATCTGTTTTTAGTTCTTTTAAAAGTTTGCAATATATGCTTATCCCAATAATATATGCTACGGGTTTAGAAGTGTAATGGCAGCTTTATGAGGGCTTAGAGAGAGGAATTCACAAAATCTGTCAGTGAGTGATGCCAATCTCGCTAGGCTTTCTCTGTAGGCAGTGGAGAGAGTCAGCTTTTCTAGAGAGCATATCAAAGCAGGAGCTCGATTTAGCCACCCTGAATTCCCCTTTACAATGGAAGGGTGTATGTGTTCTCACTAGGCTAAAGTTAAATGTTGTGATTGCCCTTTTTAATAAAGGCTTTCGTCTTTAGTCTTTATAATATCATCATTAAACATAACCTGTATGGGAAAGGCAAAGTCAAATATTTTTAAACACTAAGGCAAATAATTTAAGAGCTATCACAGAAAATACTGTGTGCGTGTCTGGAAAACTCCTTCAAAAGCATATGAAAATGATCTTTGTATTTTTTGGCAACCATGGTAGCTTTCAGACCACAGTTTCATTTGGCTCAGTCCTTCGGTAGAAATCCTGTGAATATAATGCAAAAGAATGACATGTATTTAGTAGGAGCTTATATTTAAAACATGGAAGACAAACTCCAGAAACTTGATGCAGTAGTTTAAGAAGTTATTGTCTACCTCATGCGGCAGAGTTGGCAAAAATAACTCATAAAAGTCTACATTTTCATCATGTCTTCACTGCCAGTATAAGCAGATGCTGGACTTGACTCGAAGGATCTGAAGTGTTATATTTTCCATTTGCTGGGTTGGGGAGGGTGTTGGGGAGTAGAAGGCTGTACTGCAAGAGAAGGTCAAAGCAGAGAGTGGGAGCTGATAGCATTTCCAACTGGTTTAGGAGAAATCATCAAAGATATTTTACCACTACTTTAAATTGGTTACTATTTCTGGGTAAAAGAGAGTTTCTCATGTTTTGTATTTCCAGATGGACCTTCAACTGATAAAGATTCTGAAGAAAAGAAAAAGGAGCCTGCATCTTCCTCACAAAACAGCCCTGAAGCAAGAGAAGAAAGGTGCGTAATTCTTCAAGACTATACAAATAATCTCACTCAGTATAAATTAACATTAAACTATTTGGTCCAAATTTGTCATATTAGAGACAGCTTCCACATGCTTTTCTGAAATACTTAGAGTTGTACAAGAAATGGTGTGTTGTTAGGGAAGTAAATCCTGCTGCTGCTGACATTAAAAAAAGATGAAAGCCACAGGTCAAGGTATGGCCAGACTAGTTATTGTTTATTCCATCTGTCTCATCTATCAAATACTCCTTTCTCTCTCAATACTAGCACTAAGCTTTGAGAACTGTAAAACAACCTTCAGTCACAGCTTTGTGGTAATTGCATATGTTAGAGGTTTAGCATACTTCTTTTGTCTCTTAGCTTTTACGTTTAATAAACAATCTCATTCTACACTTTTTTTGGTAAACACAAAATATATGTTATCAGAAAAATGAGCCCATGTTAATGACACTACAGGAGCTGAAGAACATTTGCAAATAGTATCTGCAAGCCCATTTCTTCTATGCATTTCTGGTTTTAGCGAATCTGTTTCCAGCAGCGATTTTCAAATTGAAATTTAACCTCTAACCATTAGTCCTGATGCAAGCTGAAAACTTTTTGGTTTACAGTTTGCAAAGCTGCATTAATTGGTTGTTTGTGACCATGGTACCACTTCAGTACAGTAAGCAGGCTGAATGCAATGCATTCACTGGGACTGAATGTTAGTGTGATGTATCCTCACTGTTTTTTAAAATAAAGTTCCATGGGGGAAAAAAACTGAGAATTAAAACTTATATGCCACATAATGGAATGAAATACCTGCTGTGTCTCTATTGTGTGGAATACCCTGGTGAATGTTCTAAAGATATTTTTAAAATTCTATTGACTCTAGAGCTATAAGTAGCTTTAAAAAGGTGGCCTGTGTTCTTTTTTTGGAATACCATCAAATGGACATAGCAGAAGACCTGTGTTTTGTCCCGGAACAAAGTTATTTGAAGAGGGGGGGAAAAAACATTAATATTAGTTTTCTTTTTGCCCTTTTTTTTAGCAGTTCAAGTAGCAATTCCAGCAGCAGGAAGGAGGAGGGTAGTGCTCCTTCAAATTCTTTCATCCCTTCTTTTCCCCGGGCTCCAAGCACTTCGGATTCTGTACGAGTGAAATGTAGAGAAATGCTCTCTGCAGCTCTCAGAACAGGAGGTGAGCTTTGTAGACTGTATTTTCAAGTTTAACTATTTCCTTCTTCTCTATTTCTGTCCTTCCCACTATTTTTTTCCTGCCCTGTAGGGTAGAATAAACCCTGTTTATGTCCATTTGTGTGTATATACCCATAGGCCAGTTCACCCAAGTTGCAAGTAATCAGTAACCTTGACAGCATGGGAATGTATTGAAATACATTTTTTGTTGCTGATGGTACAGGACATTTGGTGGCTTCTGTTCATCTGATATCTCGCCTACAGTGGAACTTCTTTTTGGGAAGGTTATTGCCTCCTTAATGCCTCGTTTAAATCTTTTTGTGGAAGCTGCTATTTTTTTGTCTTATCTGTGACTGAGAATGCCACTGTATACATGCCTGCCTTTCTTACACCAGAGTTCCTGTGGGCCTTCAGATTTTGGTTTTTGAAGGCTGCCTTTCTGTTTTGATTTAATCTTGAAGTTTCTTTGAGATACTCGCAATAAGAGAGTCTTCCATCGCTCTATCTTCATGCCTTTTGGGCATTTGTAAATTCCTTGACTATTTTGTTTTTTTTTCTTTTTCCCCCTCATGTACACTTGGGTGTCTTTAAACTGACAAATTGAATGATATGCTAGATAAGGAGCAAACTAAAAGTTGGACTCCTCAGAATGACCTGTATTTTTTCTTGTGGGTCCTTCTCTTCTGCTGGAACTTATGACCTGGCTCCTGTTCCTCTGTTCCTAGCTTAGTGTAACCTGACCCAGTGTAAGCAGATTTCCGAGTCATCCATTTTTACCCTCTTCACTTTTACATTCTTTCTTTTAATTCACATAAATTCAGATACAGACAGTAATCAAAGCTGACTAAAGACCATGAATTTGTGGTCCTCTGGATATGGAGTTCATAGATTTCTAAAATAATTTGTGACCAGAAAGTGCATATAGCATCTTAGTATTCATAATTCTATGTAGTCTTAATTTTAGCTAGTTTTCCAAGAACTCTTTTTGCTGTGTTACTTTCTACAGCACATCAGCTGATCATCCATGGGTTGAATGCCAGTCTCCAAAAATAAGGTTATTTTCTGGTTTTATGGCCTTCTGCAAGAGATCAAAGGAGAAATGGTGTTTGGATTACTCATTGAAGTACACCTGTGTTAAAATGAGAAGGAGGAAAACACATAGTGTATCTAATTTGTCCTAAGCTATCTCGGAAAGGCAGCTGTCTTTATGAGTAAGGGATTTGGTCAGAAACAGTAAACAATTATCTTGAGACATTTTAGGTCAAGTGTTGCATTGTCCTCAAGATTGCTATGGTGTATTTATTCTAATTACATGTTTTATGACACATATCTGCTCTGCATTTTTTTTAAATATCTAATAATATTGTTTCTGTTATTTAATTACTATGTTTCTAATGAAATCTTTCTCTTGCATGCATGCAAAACATTAATTGCTTATGCTTGTATTGTGTGGACTGAAAGAATTGATGAAACAATAGAAAATGTTTTCTTCTTGTAATAGTCTATTCTGCGCACAGATACGCTGTGGAGTTGGGTATTTGCCAAGCCTATTAGAATATTTAAAATTTTTCTGTATAGCAAAGTGTTTTGTTACTATTTGCATTTGCAACTAGATGTCAGAATTTTTGTTTCTGTGAAAGATTTAGGGTTGTTCTACTTCTTAAACTTCTGTTGCTCTTCATTTCACTTATTTTTGTCTTCCAAGTAATGTTAACAAAGTTTTGAAAGGATAAGTATACAGTAAATTAAACTTTCCTATACAAAAGGAAAATTCACTGCAGTGGTTTCATAATTTGCTGAGTTTCAGTTTCGAATGGGCTCTCAGGGATATAGAACACTGATGAAGATTGTCAGGTTGCTAATGTTTTAATATTTGTTTTCCTCAGATGATTACATTGCTATTGGTGCTGATGAGGAAGAGCTGGGTTCTCAGATTGAAGAAGATATCCTTTCTTGTGCATCTATGTGCTCTAGAACAAGAGTATTTTTTTAAAAGCATTGATAATATTAAAATTAATTAACTTGATCTATATATCAAATATTTTTTTATTTCATTTAAAATGAAAATAGCAAACTGTTCAACACATCAGTGCAGAAATTTAGTGTTTAAAAAACCAGCACAGCCTAAATGATTTGCCTTAAAACATGTAGGAATGTATGTAGATGAGTGTGTGTGGGTTTTTTTCAGTTCGGTATGTTTTCCTTGCAGCAGCAATATTATATCTTACTGAAGCATTCTGACATAGAATGCTGGGCTCTTCTATGTTATTTTTAAATCTTTTCTTGTTAACATTTTTAATCTTTTTCTAATGTCTATTTCATTTTCTACAAGTTTATTTCTAAATGAATTTGGAATTTTCAAAAGGGTTGTTGTGGTAGCAGTGTTTGAATAGTGACAGAGTAGAGGTCTGGGCTTCTTTTTATTTTAGTTGTTTGTTTTATTTGTTTTTTTTGTGTGTTTGTTTTCTTAAGTATAGAAATAAAGCTTCATGATTCTAACTTGCTAACGTCCTTCGGTAATTACAGTCAGCCACCATTCCTGTCAAGGAATTTCCTGTTTCTGTTGCAAACCTGTTTTAAAATTCTGTTAGTGAGCTGCCAGTGTTTGAATATTTGGTTTAGAAATGAATTAATCCTCAGGATGAGGAACTGGACATAAATTTATGGGTGACTTTTCACAATTTCAGTTGAGATCCTACTATCCGTTCATGTTTCACTGACCATGTGCTAAACTGTGATTAGGCTTCAGGAGGACGTGAAGTCTGCTGTGTTGAACAGGAAAGTAACTGTTGGTTGGTGTGGGGGGAGGACTTGATCAACAGTGGAGAAGTACATTGCTTTAGAAAAGTTGCCCCCAAAAATGAATCCCTTACAGTGCTCTAGTGTTTTGTTCCTTAAATCCAAAGCACCTATTTTTCAAGAATTAAAAAACACTGATATGAAATACAAAAATAGGGTACGAAGTAGAATAGCAAATCTCAAGGATGCAAAGAATCCTAACCTAAGGAAAAATGTGTTATGTGGGAACATTCCTCCTGACAAGTTTGCCAAAATGACAGCAGAGGTAAGTAAAGCACAGGTCTTTAATTATTTCCCTATTGGACTTTTGTCCTGGCCTGTATTTATTAGCCATAAAAATAATTTATGTAAGCTGCCCGCACTTTTGAAAGACTGTGGCTTGTTTGTGGCTTGCACAGGCTGAATTACAGGGGTGTGTTGGGGCAGAGGGAAAGAAAGCGCTGTCCCTTAATGGTTCATAAAGATCTGATTTTGTCCGTAGGTCAGAAGGCAGGTATGCTGTTGCATGTAAATTTCCTGAAATGTGGTATGTTGTGCCGTTTTTAAAAGGCCACGTGATATATCAGTGATAGTTTTTTAAGTTTAGGAAGATGTAAATATGTCTGGCTAGTGACTCCAAGCTGCTTACCCATTCACCTTTCTGGATATGCGAGTGATAGCCTGTCTTGCCATTTGTTTTTCAAATGCTAACCTCTGCTATTATACTCCTATGCAAGGTATAGCACTGTGGTTTTAAAGATCAGTCCCTCTCCTGTTGGCATTTTCAGTGTTTATTTAAAGCTTATCTCAAATTTGACAGAATACTTGAAGTGATTTTGAAGGAAACTTCACAATAAATAGAAAAAGCCATAAATGATAGGGGAAAGAAGCTAGGAGAATTGCCCTTTAAATCAAATTAAATATATGTTATTGAAAGAACATTTTGGACACTTGAATAGAAATTTCCGTTCAGATGTTCACTGTCTTTACAAATTCCCGTTCAGATGTTCACTGTCTTTACAAATAAAATAAATCTAGAAAGTCAAATGAAAAATTAGATTTTATGGGAGAAAAAAACAAAAGCACAGTTAACACCTGATTTCAGTTTTGTAGTTCTGCTAGTATGTGTTGGATTCTACCCCCCCAAATGAGGTATAAAGGAAATTATGAAAGAAATTAAATTTATGATCAAGTAATGAAAATCATGATGAGCTTTATTCTAAAGGAAAGTGTTTTGAGTTTATCCCCCCCGCCCCCCCCCCGGCTTTATGTAAAGGTTAGGGCAAACAGAGGCTGATAAAGGAATGTATAAAGAAAAGTAGATTGTATCTTCAGTGCATGTGTTGAGTTCTTTCGTTCTACGTGTGTGTATGTACGCATGCACAAACACATGTTTTGTGTTGTCCAGTGCCCATTCTTTGTTTTAATTAATGTCTTGGATTAAAATTTTAATGGCTAAAAAACTCCTTAGTGTTAAGATTACTTCTAAAGTGAAACAGCATTAATACAATATTTGCATTCCACATCTACATGGGATGTGGAGTAAAACTTTATTGAAGAAGAATGGAACAATTTGTTTTTGCTGTGCACACGTGTTTAGTATATATTGTGGAGATCTGCACACTGGAACTCTTTTAAAGGAAAAAGAAAATCAGTGAAGCTGAGCTCTTCGGTTGGTGTTTTGAAACTAAGTGTTTATGACTTCTGGTAACGTGGTAAATTATGGCTATACTGTCTTTCTCAGTACAAATATGGAAATAGTCAAAATAGTGTAAATTTTTCCTATAATAATCTTCTCTAGGTCAATGAGATAATTATGCAAAGATCTAACCTAGGGAGAGGATCTTTTTCCTCCTCTCTAGAGAATTTTTAAGTCCTCTTTTACCTTGTCTCTCTATTACATTTCTGAACTTCAGAAATGCATTTGCACAGAAATGTTTATAGGTGTTTGGTATTGTAACTTTTACTGATCCCCGCCCCCACCCCAGCTGTGTAGAAAAAAAAAAACCCAATTTTTTTAACTTTTTGTAGCTTCTGTGTTGTGAAATATCCCAGTTTAAGTCTTGTAAAATTAAAAACGTGTAGAATTACTTTGCCCTTCAATAGAATTGTTCATGGATTCTAAATAAAAAATGGTACGTACTCGCATAGTGGTAACGACTTGTTTAAAACAAAAACTCTCTAGTAAACTGTCCTGGTTTCGGCAGGGATAGAGTTAATTTCATTCCTGGTGGCTGGTACAGTGCTGTGTTTTGGATTTAGGATGGGAACAAAATTGATAAGGCACCGATGTTTTAGTTGTTGCTAGGTAGTGCTTACACTAGCCAAGGACTTTCTAGTTTCCCATGCTCTACCGACTGAGAAGGCTGGGGGTGCACAAGAAGCTGGGAGGGGGCACAGCCAAACTGGCCAAAGGGACATTCCATACCATGTGACGTCATGCTCAGTACATAAACTGGGGGAAGCTGGCCGGGGGGGCCACTGCTCGGGGACTGGCTGGGCATCGGTCGGCAGGTGGTGAGCAATTGCACTGTGCATCACTTGCTTTGTGTATTATTATTATTATCATCGTATTATTATCATTATCATTTTATTTCAATTATTAAACTGTTTTTATCTCAACCCACAAGTTTTTCTCACTTGTGCTCTTCCAATCCTCTCCCCCATCCCATCGCGGGGGAGGGGGGAGTGAGCGAGCGGCTGCGTGGTGCTCAGTTGCCAGCTGAGGTTAAACCACGACATAAACTCTCTCTGCTCTTTGTCCATAACAGGAAATGGCAAGTGATGAGCTGAAAGAAATGCGCAAAAATCTGACCAAAGAAGCTATCAGAGAGCACCAGATGGCTAAAACAGGAGGTACCCAAACTGATCTGTTTACATGTGGCAAGTGCAAAAAGAAGAATTGTACATACACCCAGGTACACGGTTCTTCAGACTCTGTTTTCCTTTTTCAAAGCTTAAGTCCTATATAAAGATTGTCATAGAAAAAAAGTTTTAATTACAAAGTGAACTTTTAACAAAATGCTAACAAATTACAAAATATGGGAAGATAGTTGGATCTATTTAAGTGTGCTTACGTAAATAATGTTTGTTCTATTAATTTACCAAAGATTTTATGTAAATCCAAGCTGAATATCTATATACCCTGAAACATCAGTTTCTTTGCAATGCTGAGTTTTTGCTAATTCTTATTACATCTTATTAATATGGTTTTATGTGGAGGAGATCTAATTTACTGTTTTTAATGTGTGTAAACTTTTCTTTACAGAGGGAATAAATAGTGGAAGATGATACATACATATAAAATATATATACATATATACACGTACATATATTTATATCTGTATGAAATCTACCATTTGACTAACACTAAATCCTTATTTACAATCATTCCTACAACCTTTTTCTGTTTTAATTAGGAAATATGTGCAAGAAGAAGGGCTTTAATTTGTTTAGCAGTGCTTCAGGGCATGTAATTTTGACCACTGGATCAGCTGTGTTTATAATTTAATATTGTATGTCAGATGCTTTAAGTAGAAAGCTGTTTTTCAATCATGAGACTTTTAAGCCTTTGCATCAGTAAATATATGTAAAATTGTACTGAACGTGTAGTTTTACTGCAGAATCTTTTCCTAGAAGTATGTGCACAGTTTCTATGCCGAAATTGATACTTTAGTGCTACTAAATCTGTCAAAACATAAGTTTATGATCACTTATAGTCTAGACAAAAAACCAGTTTCAATTGATACAGAAAATTGTATTTTTATCCAAATGTATTTCCTTAATGATAAACCTTGATTTTAAACCTTCACATTGAATACATGCTAACAAAAGTTGAAGATACTAATTTTCCTTTTCCGCTCTGGCTCTTGCCTTTGCCAAAGGTTCAAACCCGCAGCGCTGATGAACCCATGACAACGTTTGTTGTCTGTAATGAATGTGGAAACAGATGGAAGGTAAGACTGTTAGACTGCTCTGCATATTTCATAGCAGACAGCCAGGCTCTGTGCTTAATTTTGGTTTACAGTAAAGGACAAATGAGTTTCTGCTGACTTTTGGTTATTTCTTAGCCCATTAATGATATTGCACGTTCATATTGCAAAATAGCTTTAGGTTAGAAAAGTGTTTCTGACTGAAGGTGTGAGATCACACAAGCAGGGCGGTGGCAAAGGGGGAGAGAAGTCAGGACATTGACTTAGGCCTTGTGACATTTAGTTACAATACTGCTTTGCCATACAAAGTAGTAGCAAGGTAGTCACTGTGTTTTCTCTTTCTTCACCCAAAGATATTCCAACTATTTTTAATCTCTGCTTCGATGAGTGGCCTTTGTTGTGTTTTTTTCTGGCTTTTTGCTACTCTGAAAAGAAGGGGGCATAAAAGAGAGATGACTGCTGCCGTATTCCTGTGTCAGGATAAGTGTAGGGCAGTGATAACTTGATCTAAATTTTTTTAAGTTCAGGAAATGGGAATTACAAAAGCTTCTGAGGATCACAGGTAGTCCAATAAAGTGGAGAAACACTGAAATGAAGGCCTGTAAAATTTACAACTTAAGATGTGATAGCATGCAATGTGAAGCATGATGCCCTCATTCCGTTGTTCTTCTGTGTTAAGATGCTGCAGCTCTGCAGAACCATGTTGCACAGCATATGTTAAGATTACTGCATTTAAAAAAAATTCTTTTATGCATCTTGTTTTACATATCTTATTACTGAATATTGTTCAAATCTATACTCCAAGATATCAAAATAATTTATAAAGCTGAGAAATTGTTTGATGCAGTACCTGGAAAAGTTCATTTGTGCTCAAAACCTCCTTGTAAGGTGGTGGTTACAAAAGTGTCTGCATAAAGATGCTCGAGTGAAGGAATGGTTATGATATAAGCAAATGCTTTAACTAGTAATTTCCATATCCTAAGTGTGGTGTCATATTTCCGTTTCTTCTTGCAAAGATTTAGAAATAAGCTGTATGAAGATCTCATAAAAATTCTTTTCTTTTGACAGTTCTGTTAGAAGAAGAAATTGTCAAGACATCTGGACCAGTATGAAAGAGGATTTTGTAATTACCTTTAAAAACTAGGCTAAGCATCTAGCTTCCTGCAAATGAGAGGTTTTTTGGTTTTTGGTTTTGTTGTTTTTTTTTTTTTAAAGCAGCATACATGCCTGAAGTTAGCCTTTGTTTTGACACAACCATCATTTCCTTAAATGCCTTCCTATAGCTGATAGTCCGTAGGGCCAGGTTGCTCAATTGTATGGTGAATGTTAAAATATTTTTTCATTTTTATAAGTAAGTTGACATTAAACTTTTACCAATTAAACATTTTGGTAACTGGCTTGTCTTTTTCTAACTATGTGAATAATGTACTGTATTTTTTGCCATCTGAAACATACACACTCCTCCCATATGTATTTCGCCTCTCCACATTTGTTCAATTGTAAGAATGGAATTTGTTTCTTGCTGCTGTGTTCACTAGTTTTGCAAAGAGAAAAGGTATTTAACTCCATCTAATTACGTTAAACTCAGTTGTTAACTAAATCACAATTTAGTTAACTCTAGTTTGTACGTACTCTTTCTGAATTAGGACTAAATTTTTGGACATGGGGTTTGGAAATTTATTAGTGGATATGATGACCTCTTTTGCAGTGGTTGGTTAAGCTTGTTTATGTAACCAGCTTTGATCAATGCAATACATTTTATTGCGCAGAGCATGTATTTTACATTCTATCAGTAGGTATTATTTCTAGGAATGTCTTAAAATAATGTCGGTTAAATCTCATTTGAGTGTTCAGTCTTGCTTAACATGCTTGACAACCAAATTTGGTTTAGACTTTGTAAATAAGTAAAGGCATTGTGTTGTAGGCTGTCCTAATAACACCAGCTAACCAATTCATCACGGTATGAACTGGCTGGGGAGGTAATATTAAATTCATTTCATATAAATGACATTAATTTTGTTCATGAACTGAATTTTGAGATGTGGAGTATCCGATGTCAATCATAGACCTGCAGGTGAGAATAAATTATTAAAGTTATGGTCTATTCCATATGTGGAATGATATAAATAAAAGTGCTTTGTTAGAGCCTGCTTTTTAACAGTGCACATGTTTAGAAGTATTTTCAAATGCGCTTTCAAGGAAAAATATGTCAACATCTTTAGAAGAGATTAAATTCTTTCATTATATCTAAGTTTATATTATTTCATTTATCGAAGCCTGGGGCTGAGGAGGTCTATCCTGGCAATGTGTAAAGGATTGATGGGGGGATGGGAAGAGTATGTGCAGTTCCTGGAGAATAAATTCCTTGACTGTAAAGGAAAACCAAGATTTTCTATGTGGAATATTTTTTGGTGATGGTGGCAATCATAACGAATGAGTTGGAAATAGCATGATGACACTTGAGCTGTGCAAGACAAGAAGTGTTTGGTAAATACTCTATAGAGCAAGCTTTTCCAGTCAGCTTGTGCAAAGAAGGAAAAGTGGCTTTTCTGCTAAAGGAAAAATGATTAAAATAGAAGTTTAGTTGCAAACATTTTTTAGGCAGAATATTGTTCAGGATTTAAAGTTTCTTGCATAACTTTATATAAAAACGTTTTTAACTCAACTTATTTGATATTAATGCCCTAATTCAGAAAACATTCTTTTTTCTACTAACAGAATGGGTTTATTTTTAGCCTGTGTGTAGCTCCTTCGGCAGGATTGCTTCTTAAGAGTTACTTAAAGATGCATAATTGATTTTATTTTTTTTTTAAACCCAAGTTAAGACAGTAACAAACTAATGACAGACCTTTAATATCAATTGCAGTGCTTTGTTTGGAGACCTTTGTAAAAGAACAAGTCCAAAAAAATATGTTAAAAATGATTGCAAATTGGATGCCAAGTAGACCTAAATTTCCACTGCTGTTCACGGCATATATACAGGGCGGGCACAGGTTGGTTTGCATAACCTTCCTCACGCTACATGTCCTTTAATCTTTATGCCTGATTGTGACACTTGGGAGAATTACCTTTTGAGAAAATACAGTAATCACCTTTCTGTACTTAGCGAATTGTATCTGGACTTCATTAAAAGAACTAGAACTGCGATAGTGCTTTCTGTGATATAGGTGTACCCAAGAAGGAGTTGAAATAAAATGTTGTTTCACCTAATGTTACCTTATGGCTGGGGAACAGCCTTCAGCCTTTTTCTCTTCTGTCCCTGAGGTAAAAAGACCCGTTTCTTTCTCGCAGCGAGAGATGAAGTCCAAGAACTAGATCCAAAGAAGATCACAGTTGCCTAAATTCTATTCATGCTTCATTTTGGTTACCCAGATCCAAAAGTAAAACTGCCGAGCAGTGAGCTTTGGATGCACCTCTGTTCAACAGGTGCTTCAGTTTTCCCAGTTGTCTGAAATTGCCCTCCTCTATCAGAGCGGATGTAAAGTCTGAAGGATGTATAGGAGAAGAATGTATAGGAGGTGGGGCTGGGACCATATCTCATTTCCCCAGCTGGCTGGCTTACGTACTGAGCTGCAGTCGTGCTACGACTGACCCAGTACGTTCGGATATTTTATGCAGTGAAACATGCTGGCAGAACTGGTGGTGAATCTCTCCCGTCCAAGAATAGCAGGTTTCTTTATTACCTTTATGGACATTTGAATCCTCTCAGACGAAAGAGAGACTGGAACATAATTGCCCTACAACTTAAGCTAGTTTTTACACTAGTAAAGAAACACTAGTAGAGAAAAAGAGGTGGCCATGTTCCTTTTCAAGTAAGTGTGTGTGTGTGTGTAGATCTTTAAGGATGCCATCTTTCTTCTGTAAGGAAGGCCAGAGGTTTCTGCTGCTCAGAAAACACAGCTTCTGGATCCTGCGTGAGAAGGCATGTCCTCATATATAATTCTGTTAACTTGCTCAGGAGAAAGTGTGGGTTTTAAAATACCCTGTACTGAATGATTCCTTTTGACTAGCACTAAGCAGAAGGTAGATATCTGCTCAATGATCTTGGCTTTTGTGTGTCCCACTTTGAAGCCCTGTTGCACTTTCCAAGCACTGCGAAGGAAGTGCCTGGTTTTTATCCAGAGTTCAGGATTCCACTTGTGGTCGCATACGTGAATTTTAAATTGAAACGTACAACCCATACCAGCTTAGGTAGAACTTCAATTCATCAACACGAAGTCTTCGTTCTGCAAAAAGTAGTTGTGTTACCTTTCAAACGCATGCCTTTTGAAATCGATCATTAGTAGTCATTCATATAAATAAACCTGAAGAGTTTCACCTCTTTAAGTATCATTTCATACAGCTGTATATTAGCTTCTGTTTCACTAGATCATCACTAATCTTGAATTGTTTTACCATTTTAAAAGGTTTGGGATTAATTTAGTTACAACATTAGTATAGAAAATCTTTCATTAATGTCATTGAAATGATCCTGATACCTTCCATGGCAGAAGACACGTGTTCTTAAGTACTGTTTAGAGCAAACTTGTTTAAAAATTACTTCACATTGTGATAGTCTTTCTTATCGCTTTCTCTTTTTCAGATATCCTTTGTAATCAGAAAGTGCATAAATACAGGATGTTTGTGTGATAAATGTTAATCTATCTTTATATAGTAGAGCCTTCAGGATATATATATAGAATTTTTTTTTTCTTCATTTGTATTGCGCTAATGACTTTGGAATTTAAAGGTCAGTGTAAAGCACAATATGTTAGCTGAAGGGGCCCATGCAATTTTAATACCGCTTAGCAGGCTGGTGAAAAGAGCAGTCCTTAACAGTATGCATGTTCTGTGGGAGTTACTGGTTTGTGAAGTGCAGCCATTGAAGAAAGAGTACCAGTGACTGGAAAGTTGTTAGCGCTTAATGATATCCTGCAGTTAGATAAATGCCAAGACAGACCAACCATGCTTATTTTCAAGCTAGGATAAATTGATTTTCTCGTAATTTCTTACTTGATGAATTATAAATAATATCTTGGGTCAATATGATTATTTTCTCCTGCTATTCATGTAACAGCTTGTCTATGGTAACTTTTCAGTGCAACTCACTTTTGCCCTGAGAAAAGTTTGTGCATAATAAGCAAGTATATAATAATGAAATGTAGTTAAAAACCTGTCTTCTTTGCGGGTGGGGTTTTGTTTTCCTTTCCCTCCCCCTCTCCCCCCTTCAATTAAATCCAGCATTAAACAGCCTCAAAATAAAAAGACATTTAGGGGAGTGGGTTGGTTGGTTGGGTTTTCTAAGAGAGACTCTCAGGGTATCTAGGGACCAGCATTCTGCCATTGCTGTTGGGTGTAAGCTTAAACCTAAAACACAGCATTAAAATTTGTTCAGATTTTTCGTGAAAGATGCGTATTGCAAATGTCAGCGTATTGTAATGCAGAAGTAAAATGAAAATTGCCTAGAGAATTTTAATTGCTTAGAAGTTGTGATACATGAAAAATAAGCTTAGAAATTATTTTCTTTTTTTAGTAATCTGATGTTAACCATATAACTGCCGAAACCAATATAGTTTTCTCTCCCCTCCAATTTAATTGTATTATTCTGCAAAAAAAGAAGGAAAAAAATGCAGTATATTGTTTGATATAAAGTACGAGTGTTTGGTCTGTCTTGCAACTCTTAACGAGGTATCTTTGCAGGGAAGAGAGATAACTTAAAAGAAATTAAATCCTCCATTTCATGAAATAACAGACTTTGAACTTTTTTTGATGTGTGCGTCTGATCTTTCCAGCGAGCTGAATTTGACCTAGTTAAACTTGCTTTGTCAACTTAGAGTTTTAGAGCACTCTTACCCACCCTGATAAAAACAAGTACAGCATCATCGGTTTGACTGCAAGCTCCCCATGAATGCTGCCTTACCGATACATCTAGTTTGTTTTGTTGAAGTTACTGCCTATCATGTAATGCTTTACGTAAAATGAAATTGTATTGATAGTGCTTTGGGTATGTTTACTAGAAATTCAGCTGAGAGAACCAGCGTTGATACGTTAAGCAGTGGTGACTGCTAACTGGACCGTGTCTTTAAGTGTAGAGGTATATAGAAGGGCTTCCTCTTAACTTAGTCATCCAGTGTTGTGCTACAGAGGGCAAAACCACTTTGATTTGCTGTCTCTCTTCAGTTTTTTGGTTTACTTTTTTGTGCTGACACGTTGAATAGTGTTTTGGTTTTGGAAGGAGATGATGGAAACTGGTCCGTAGCTATTGTTAACTTACCGTGTATCGGGTCTTCTCCTGTGGTGCTGTGTAATGAAAAATCTCATCATTACTTGTTTAATAATGCGAATGCAGTAAGGGGAGAACGTCTCCTGCCGAGTGCATTGAGGAAACAATTAAATTGATCTCCTAAATTCTACCTTGTTACTCATACTTCCTTTTTTCAGAGAAGGTCCCCATTTTGTGCTTTTCATACTGCTGGAATTAGGCAAAGAGTAGGTTTTATAAAGGCTACAGTAAATGTCACTGAACTATGCCTGTCTGGTTCTTCCCTTCTAGGGGTATGTTTTTCTTTCTGTTCCCCATATGTCCTTTTCCTACCTATATGTCTCATCTGGTTCATTTAAACAAATGTGCTGGAAAAAATACAGTTCAATGGAAGTCCACTATAAACTCTGAAGTTTAATATAGTGGAATTGTATTGAATCTTGTAATTTAAAGTGAAGAAGTTATTCTAATAACAGATCCGCACAGATTATGCAGGTTCAGCTTACTTTCTTCCTGGTATTTCCTGTGATTACTGATTTTGAGATATGACCAGAAATCAAGTGTAATGCTTTGGGGATACTCTAAATGAACATGGTTTATTAGTGGATAGAGCTGCTGCTTTTCTTTCGGACAGTCTGAAATAGCGCTGTATCAGAACAGAGTATTTCCAGCTTCCTTCCTTTGTCAATTAAATGTGTGTGTATCTGTAATAGAAACCTTACAAGATCTGTCAGGTAACGGGAGAATTTAATAGGTACAAAACCAAGATGGTTGATACTGCCATCCTCTCGGGAGCGAATAGTGAAGGGTTTTTACATCTACCTACCGAGGGAAGAGAAGAATATGTGACAATTCTTGTGCTTTATTTTGGAATTTAAATGCGCAGACTCTTCTTCCTCTTAAGTAAATAATTTATAAACATCAACAATATGAACTTAAAAATGCTTTCAGCAGACTCTAGTAGTAAAATAACAATTCTTCAGCAAAAGATTTTTATAGGCAGCATTATTTCAACCATTAGCTTTCATAAACTTGAGATTGCCGTACCGATTTCCATTAGTGCACCATATATGCATTAAATATACCAAGGCAAGTGGAGTGTACCTGTGCCAGGTACGGTACGTGAAACTTTGTCTAGTGTAACCCAGATACTGACAGTACTGTGTTTACTTTGGTCACAGTGTGGATGGGGCAACTGGTTTGGTTTTCAAGAAAATTCTAACGCTCCACTTAAAAAATAAAATTTAGTTTTCGTGCTCAGTTGGCATTTGTACCTCAGACATAATGTTGTAACAGATTTGCATCTGAGTTGCATGCTGCGTTTGAAAAAAACACTGCATTTTTTGAACAACAACATTTTCTCTTCATTCTCTTTTGCAAAGTAACACTGAATTTGATCAGAAACTGTAGTTAGCTGACTGCGTCAGAGCCTTGTGCGGGTTTAAATCATTCAGTCTGTAGTAAAACTTGCCTGAGTTATTTTCAGGTAAATATCTGATTAATTCTAAATTCCCTGTGGATTGGTGTAGCCCAGAGTTCCTTTTGTTTTAAAATAAATACATTTAAGAAAAAAATTCTATGCTTCAATGGATTTTTCAGATAAGGACCGAAGCAAGTCCTTATAAATAGCAGAGTTCATAAACCGTGGGTAGGAGTCTCTGTGCATTAAGGTATAAATTTGAAGCTGTGCATCGTCGAAGGTGTGTTGTGAGGGTTCCAGCATATTTCGGTTAATAACTTCTCTTACTCTGGAGTCCAGACTGACCTGCATATTAAAATAGAAAGCCATGTAAATAATAGTGGTGAATAGCACATGTGGGGGTTTAGGTTTGTTTTATTGGTTGAAAAAGCAGTCTTTTTTTAACTGTTTCAGCTGGTGTCCTTCAAGAGTGTAAAAACTGCTAGGCATTTTTGCTTAGGCAAAAAATGACAGTGGTGAAATTTGGAAGTAGTGATGTCTTGAGTGTGGATAGAGAAATGTTCTCACCGAGGCGACCTTACTTTGAACAGGGCTGCCTGCAATCCCGTTATTACTGAAACCTGAGAGACTGGCAGGCTGTTTCCAGACCAACTTCCTGCTCTGTAGCAGGGAGGATTTGTAATTTTTTGTGGCAGTTCGTTTCCTTGGGAGTTAGTGCTGTTGTAAAGAGACTGAATTTGGAGTAAGCAGTATGACGCAGGCGGAAACTGTAACCTGGGAAGCTGTTGCTTAACCAAATTCCTGTTAGAAAGCAGGGTGAATTGATGCGAACCACAGGTATGGCTATATAGTGATTCCATGCAACATACCGGTAACGTCATTTTTTTTCTGCAAGGCTCTACTGTCTGTAGAAAGATATTAGTATTACTGGAATAGACCGACTAGATTTAAACAGCATTTTTGTTAGTACGTAAGTATAGCTTGCACCGCAAACAATTAAGTTTGAGTTTTGCAAGGATATTGGAAGGTTTAAAATTCCAGCCTCCTTGGCAGGATTATATTCAACTGAACTGAGGTGTCTTCGAAACTTGACATATTTGCTAACAGTAAAGTGACAAGTAGTTTTGAAAATTTTCAGGAAATCAGTGTGTTTGTTCTATGCCATATTTTGTCAGCTGCTCTTTGAGTGATTTCTACTTTGCAAATAACACTTTATTTGTAGTTACTGTTCTTCTGGAGAGACGCACACACCCCCTTCCTAGTGCAAAGAAAAAAGAAACTGATTTGTCCAACAAATAAAATTTAAGTTAAGCAAGGATAAAGTGATCATCTGTATATTTTTGCCTCAAACTACAGACTTCACACCAGCATGCCAGCGTAGCATAGGAAGGGCTTTCTTACAGCCAGCGAAAGTAGTTTCGACCACCTCACCTCAACGATGGGTCTGCCTTTTTTCCCCTAAATATCTACTTGATGGTAGTGGAACGTGGGGGGAAAAAAGTTCTCCCTGAATATTGTTGTAGCTTTAAACATGTGTTAGAACTAACTGTGCAAAGCAGTATCAAAGAATGTATTGGGGAAAATAATATACCTCTTTTGGAGAAAGGATAGAAATATAATCTTCATAAATTAGTCTTGCTTTTTCTTCAATGACACTTTTGTTGGATTCTTGTTTTAGTTCCTCACAGGCCATCCAGAAAAGCATGTTTTCCTCACTGAATTCTGTTCGTAGAAATTCACGAAAAGCATTTCTGCCGGCTGGAGTGAGCATCAACTTGTCAAATGACTGAGCCCAGGCATTTACTTCTTCAAGGGTAGGAGCAGGGCTTGAGGAGGAAGGAGGGGACGAGAAGAGAGAAATGAATGATTGTTACTCGAGCTGTTTGCAGCTGGCAGGAGGCATCTGCCATCAGGATGGAACAAAATCGCAAGGTTCACGGGGCTCTCAATTCCCCACCGGAACTACCCAAGTGCAAACTCTAGTAAACATATTTATAAGATGCTTTTTGAAAGTGTGCTTACCAAAAGCTCAGATGCAGATGATTGCCAGCGCTTTGATGCAGAAATTGCAGTTTACTGCTCAAAGTAATTGCAACAAAGAAGTCCCTCTGCAACAGCTAAGCGTTTTTTCTATACCTAATAGTCCCTGTTGAATCATTGTTAAAAATTGAGTGAAAATACGTAGAAAGAAGCAATGATTCAAACCCCATAAAAGGTACCCTCCTGTCTATTAACAGTTCTACAGGTGCTCCTACCTGTTTGAGCAATCCTGAAGACACAGTTGCCTGACTCTTGGGAGGATCTGAGCTCCTCTTTACATTTATTATTTTTGTAAGGCTGAGCACTGCCAGTTAGCTTCATTACATAGCTGCTGGGTGGGAACAGGATGCATTTTAAAATTATTTCAGAAAAAAAGGGAGACTGTGTTCACAATGCTTGTTTTGATCTGCCATGGTATGGAAGTGGGGATGTGGTTACATGCTGCATATAAATAAGGTAAAAGATTATAGATAGACCTTCGGTTCCTTAGGAGGTAAGAGACAGATGACTGCAAATTCAGCTTAAATGACAAATAGATAGTAAGTTATTTGCATATTTCAGGTAATTCACTTTAATTATTTAGTATGGTTTGTTGGGTTTGTTTCATTTTAGCTTGACAGAACACTTAGTAAAGACCATACCTTTCCTCGCAGTTTGGAATGCCCTCTGCTTGGAGTTCATGAGATGTTCTCCTTGCTCTCTCTTCGTCTTGATTTCTAACGGTAAGACTGCAAGGTAGCAAACAAAACTTTAGTTAGCTTTATAAAGGAATGGGCTGAATGCACACCAGACACTTTTCCTCCGATGTTTAAAAAAAAAAAATCAGCTAAAAGGACATAAGCTAACAGTAGGTACATTACCCATAGTTATACTCTGACATTAGTTTTACAGTTGTTTAAACTTGGCAAATGTTAACGTAGCTGAACACTGTTCAATATTGTATCACATAGACTTTCTGTACAGGGATCACAGATTCATAGAATATCTCGAGTTGGACGGAACCCATAAGGATCATCGAGTCCAACTCCCTATATATATCTATACACGAGTGTGTGTATATATATGGGATATATATGTATACATATATGTATACATGAGTACCCTTTATCACATACCAAATCAGTTCTCCGTGGATACTTATTATACTGTGTATGTTTGATGCAATGTTTTTACTTAGTTAGGCTTGATGCACTGGTTTTATGTGAGTTAGATTTCAAGGTTGGTTTTGTTTTTTAGTTTAGGCTTTTTTTTTTTCCTCCTTGGCTTTTTTTTTTATCCATAGGGCACGATGAGGGCCAAGACTCTGGTTTAGAATGGTGATACCGTGTTACAAGAAAGCCAGAGTTCAGAAGATGGAGCGCAAGTTTTAAGCAAGCTAGACACTTCCGTGTGTGGTGTTCAAAGTGTAAGCATCTTTCAGAGTTCAGATGTAGGTATAGCTAGATTGTGTGGTAATTGTTCGCAACTTAAAGAAGGTGCTAGTGTATGCTTCAAAATGTGAGGTCTGGAGCAAAAAGAGCAGATACACCATTACTGAATATCGTTTTAAGTATGTCTGACTGGAAAACAGTATTAGCTTATTTGTAGATTAAAGGAAAAATAAATGTTTGCTGCCATCGCTAGTGATCACTGAGAGAAGAGTTTTTCATGTCCCCTGGAAGGGTAGCTGTCAGCTCCCGCTGCTTTTATGAAATGTTAATTTGAATAACTGTCTTTTTTAAACTAGTTTTCAAACATTCCTTTTGTAGTTGCAGGTGATTCTTTTTCTCTTGAGACTGAATTTGAGAATATACATATTTTCTTTTAGGGAATGGGGACTACGTTCCAATTCAGAGGCTATCATAGTTTAGTGAGAAATGCATGCGCATACCCACACATACATTCATACAATCTGTGAAGCTGCTTAAAATTCGTCAAGAGGAAAAGGTCCCGATGAATTATAACCTGTAACTTACATGAAATGGGTCCTCCAGCTGAAGTAAAGCAATACAGTTATAACTTCTAGGAAAATATCAAACTCAATTTCTTCATTTGTATCTTACCTTTCTTTAATGCTAATGTTATAACAGTTTTGTTGCTTTAATTCTTAAGAATCTCATTTATCACTAGCAAGGCTTTTTGTTAAACCAGTTGATTTTTCTTTCTTTTCTTCCTTCTAAACTCACGGCTTTGTCTTATTTGCAGCGTTACTATTTACCGGTTATCTCCTCTTGCTCTTTCCAGTGTTAGTCCATAATCTGCAGAGACCTTCTTGGAGGATGGAGAACTGAAACGTTTTAAGGCTTGAGGAGTGGCTGGAGGTTGGCAACAGAGAATAGAGATGCTTTTCTCTTTGCCAAGGCAGTCCATGCGTTGAAGAGGTAGGGAAGCTTGCCTGTTGCTAAGCTGGAGAGCAGTTGTTGCAAACACATTTTTTTTTCTGTAACATCTGAACCATACATGCAAACCAATGAACTGTTTCAATTCAGCTTTTCAGGAAAAAAATGCATGTAGTTAATGTTAGTTCTCTATTCTTTTGGAGTGTATAGGTCTCAGTCCTTTACTACCCTTTTAACCAGTGATTCTGGCCTTTTTTAATTTCAAAAGTGATATGTTGTGTATTCCTCACACACAGACAAGAAGTGATATGCTTGTCAGAGTTATTTTTGGGTTGAGAGGAACCGACAGATCCAACAGAAAGGATTACAGTCTTCACAGGATAATGCACAAAAGGGGAAAAAGACAAAAGAAATAACAAAAGCTTCCTTAAGAGAACGTGACATGCCTTAGAAAATAACATG